AAAAAAGTCAAACTAAATTGACCATGATTCAATGTTGAAAAGCATTTAAAGGGAAAAGCATCAAAACTGAAGGGGTTGAACACTTTTTATACACACTGTACATATTGTTTCCTGCAGTATGTACACAACAGGGAAATACTGCTTTGTTATAATGATGCATTGTGGGTCAGAACGGCTAGAAAAACATGCCAGTTTGAATACTGCAAAGTCCGTAATTTTCTTTGGTTGTAACAGCATGAAAGTGGCTGCATTAGACACTAACCTTTGACATCGTTGAGACTGGCTCCGGTGACCCCTTCACTGAGGTCGATGAGCGTCCCCTCGGACTTGCAGCGAGGGAGGATGTGGTTGTTGTTGGTCACTCTGATGATCCGATGGGCAGCCATGGCCTGCTCTGATAAAAGCTCATTGGCAGCTGTTCATCTGGAAGGGAAACAAACACGGAAAGCGTTTCAGCCGAGTCCAAACACATCTGCGTTCGAGCAAATCTGCAAGAGCGACGCTAATTTTCTAGATCAGTAACACAGTCAAAGGTCGAAGCTGCTGCAGCAGAAAATAAAGCCGGGAAAGAAACGAGCCCTCGGACGGACGGGGAGGGTTTTTCCTCAATCAATGCAGAGAGCGTCGAAGTGAGGGAGAGAAGAGAGAGATGTGATTTAAGGGGAACAATCGAAAAGGCAATAAAGAAACGAAACCAAAGGAGATTTAAGTTCTGAGCCAAGTGACAGCGGAGAAGGTCAGAGACATAATGTAAAACACGAGGGAAGAAAGTTCACTCTTGTTCCTTTGCAGCAATAAGACGATGTGGGAGCGTGTATGAATGTATGCTACGTTACTCTGGCAAGACTGATTGTGATTTTTAAAAATAACCTTTTATCTCTTCCTCATCCAAATTCTCCAAACATCCTCCTCCACCCACCACAGAAACCCAGACGGACAGATTCACCCCAAAAGCAGCCGACAGGTTTCAAAGGCGAGTTATCTCTAAAAAAAAATGTAAAGCGCCAGAAAGTGTAAAAATTGCAAAAATCATTGGATGTTCAACCGCATGACAATCCTTAAACTAATCATGTGCGAATTTTCGCTTTGTTGGGAAAATTGCGAAATTTCATCAAAATAATTATATTTTACACGACAAATTCAAAAATAAAAAGATTAAATTCTGCTTCATCTGACCCTAACTTTACACTGTCTTCCTGTAGTATATTTAAATCAGCAAAATATCATTATTCACAGATATTTGCCATTATTTGAAAGAAAACTTGTGCATATTATGGTGTGAAAAATGGTAAATATGTTGTTTTTGTTAACTGTGATTTTACAGGTTTTCGCTGTTTTGTTAAATTATAGAAAATATCGAGTAAATTCACGGAAAAATTCAATAACAGTGAATGTAAAAACAAGAAAAACTGTACATAATATCTACATCAAATATTTGTTTTTTGTACTATGTTTAACTGTCAAGCTACTGTTTTAAATCAGCAAAAAATATTATTTCACCAATATTTGCCATTATTTGGAAACAAATATGTACGGAAATTAAGGTGTGAAAAATGTTCAATATGTCTTTTCTAACTGTTATTTTACAAGTTTTCTCAGTTTTGTTAAATTACAGATATTAGAAAAATAAAAGTAAAATCACGGGAAAAAAATGTGAATTTACATGTTGAATTTAAAAAGAAAACATCTCAAATCAGCCAAAAATATCATCATTTACAGATATTTGCTATTATTTGAAAGAAACTGTATGCATATCAAGGTGTGAAAATGCTAAATATGTTATTTTTAAGTGTTTTTTTACAGGTTTTTCGCAGTTTTTGTTAAATTACAGAATTACAATATTTTAAAAATTTAAGTAAAATCACAGAAAAAAATATTAGTTTACATTTTGAATTTAAACAAGAAAGAAAACATCTCAAATTAGCTAAACATTATGATGTTAAAGATCTTTTTAAATCTTTTTTACTTTTTTTGAAGTATTTTACAGTTTTTAAAATTTTTATTTTTTTTTCAGTTTTGTTGTCGGGATGTTTTTCCCAAAGTGCAAGATGATGACGCCCAAATATTTACTGGAGGATTTTAGCGGTTAGCTCACAAGCTGCCGTAATTTAGTCAGAAATGCACCATAATAATTCAGTCACATCAAACTGAAGTATTTAGACGCCTCTGTCCGCGTACTTTTGGCCACGTAGCATTTAAAACTTATAGAATGACATCTAATATCTGTGCTGTGCCCACAGAAACCGAAGGCCAGTCCCAGAGGCTGCAGCCGCTCTCGCGTTTCTGGTATTTACGTCTCAGATCGTATCAGGCCAGTTACCAATTTCCTTGTCAGAATTGAGCTGTGATTCAATTTGTGTATGAAAACACGCAGTCAGCAGAGGACCGTAATCTGATTAGAGAGGCAGCAAGAAATTGTTTCGCAGCAAAGCGTCCCGAGAGACTTTACGACTCCTGCAGGACGCGGGGACATTTGCATTTGCACGCTAATGATGCCATTTTAATCTGATTAAAGCGCGGCAGAGTGCAGGAGGCGCCGCGAAAACGCCTTTCATCGATGGCCGTCGTTAGAGCTTCAACGTGGGAGCTGAAGGCTTTTCATTCACGCCGGTTTTTGTTTTTTTTATGAAGTGCTGCTTTGCAAGTTTTCTGTCAAAACTGAAGCAAAAAACAACAACAACAGAAATATTATTAGAAGGTCTGACATGCATTATTCACAATAATCCAGCTGCCTCCAAAGCCACTGTGACGTTCCTGTGAGAGCTCATTAAATTACTCTAATTAAAAAAGTAAACTTGTGTTTTTGGGAGGCTTTAACTGTTTCACTGCATCAAACTGTCACCACGCAGAGTGACGACTGTGCAACGTGAGAGGACACGACAAGGAAAGCAGCTTGTTACTGGTAGGAAGTGGGTTGATACCAAAGTCACCTGACGTTTATGAGAAGAGCCGGACATGACAAGAAGCTTTCTGGAACATCATGTTGGGATAAAGCAGATGCTGGAGTCCATGCTGCTGTTATTTAACCCTCTGAAAAACCTGCTGGCGGGTTTAAAAGGAGCGTTATCTTTACTAAACCAGAGCCAGAAACTGCCAGAAATGTTGCTGTTCAGTTAGGAGACGTGATCAGATCTCAGCTTTGAAACTTGATATTACATTAAAATCACTTTATTGTATTTTGCTCTTTAAAAAAATAAATAAAATCAGCAAAAAATCTGCACTCCTCTGCACAACCGTGAAGCCATGAGTGACTCAGCGGCAACCGACACTAACGGGACAAAAACTTAAAAGTCTCTAAAATCCACAGTAGGTTTGACTGGCGTGTTGTTTTAAAAACATAAATGTCAAAATCACACTTAATTATCACGAAAACAGATATAAAATGTGGATTTTTACCTTTTTTTGTTGCTAAAAACAACCAAATCCAAGCTAATAAAAATCAGGACACTTCATCATAATTAAAACTCTTTAAAAAATAAATCCTCCGCATCATCTCGATTCTGTAAAAAACAAAAAATTCTGCGCTCTGCATCAGAACCGTGAAGCCATGAGTGACCCAGCTGTGGCCGACGGTCACGTGACAAAAATTCTGGGATGTTATTGGTTGAACTGCAGGCGGTGTTCACACAAAGATGCAAAGAAATTAAAACATGTGAGAAATGTAAAACGAATTATGCACAGTCTGTAAAGATCAGTAAAATAAAGGCAGCACGGCTCAGACACGGTGAAGAGAGGAGCAAGTTGTTGGACGATACATCCAGCTGATGAAACATCTTCATGAGTAGTGTGAAAAACAGGAAGTTGTAAATCTGTAAATAGTCAAATATGTATACTTTATGGAGCCATAAAGCTGTTTTCCAGTGATAGACAGTTGGATGACACATGCTGATCCCAGATTTCTGCAAATTTCTGTAAAATATATAACCAAAAAAATTCAACTTCCGCTGTTTTCTTTTTTAAGATTTATGGATTTATTATTGGGCTGCAAGGTGGCTCGGTGGTTAACACGAGTGAGCCTAGTGAGGACTAAGCGGTGTATAGATAATGGATGGATGGATTTATTACTGTGTCAGAAAGCAGAAGGCATTTCTCATTTTTCTGCAATTTTTATGTTTGTTCTGAGGTACAGGACGGAAAAAACAGTGAAGAAAAATGTGACTAAAGTAAAAAAAAGAAAACGAAAGCTAGCTAGTTTCTTTCCTCTCTAACCCTGATCACAAACTCTTTCATTCTGCTTTTTTTTTTAACTTAATTTGTTCGTCATCGTGCAAACTCAGAGCGATGCTTCACTTTTTTCGTGTTTTTTTTCTTCCCTAATCTACTCAGAAGCTTTTCCTACACGCCGGCCAGAGGTGAAACCTGCTCGGAGCTTCCTCTCTGGAGGCCGAGCGACGCTGAGCAGAGCAGGACGGCCCGTTTAATACAGGACGGCCCGTTTAATGCAGGACGGCCCGTTTAATGGCTCCTGCTGAAAGCCGGTCAAACGCCTGCGAGGTGACATTTCACTTTCCTGCACCTTCTTCCCTGGTCGGGGAGCGTATTGATGAAACCTCCCCGGCGCTGGAAAATGAGCACTCAGCGGGCAGCGGGAGCAAAGCTGCGATCAATAACACGCCGGCAGACAGAGACGCCGTCGCCTGCTTTGATATGACACCGAGGCATCCCCGCCTAATGCAGCGGGAGGCGAGGGCGGCCCTGATGGGGAACGCAGCAGGAGCTCAGAGCGAGCTGGAGTCCTGCAGCTGGGCCTCCTGGAAGCTGGAACTTTCAAAAAAAGATCCAGGATTTAATGTCAGCTACGAAAACAAGCCCGGGTGACCTTCTGAGAAAATGGGACAGGAGTCTTTAGATCTCAGAGACGCCCGACAACAACGCGCGCTTTTGTTTTGCTTCAGGTTCGCGGAGAAATTTCCATTACAGAGGAGACGAGACGCTGGAAAAGCAGCTTTCAGGGGCTCTGCAGCAAACCGCTGGAGGGCTCGTGCCTTTTCTCACAACTGGAAACAGGGATCGCATCCGAGTCGGTGAAATATTCTCTTATTGACTCTCTTCAGTCGGGGCGGCGAGCGCGTCGGGGAGTCGAAAGTTTAATTAGCCGAGCGTCGGCCGACCCTAATCCCCGGATGAATGCTGCTATAATAACCGTCTCCGGCAGCCATATGCTCGCCGAGAGTTTATCATCTTCCCATCACGGCGGTTTGAAATGAGCAGATTACAGGACGACGGAGAGGAAAACAAAAACCCCAAACTTCACCAGGAGTGGGTGACATCCGAACGTCCCACGTACGCATTCAAACAGGCGGTAATCCCAGATGAAAGCAGGAATCTGAGCCGGAACGTCTCTTAAATCAAGATCAGACAAACCACAGGGAGCTCCCTCAGTCCC